GGCATTACAACGAAGGCATTGCGAAGAAACACGTTGATCATATCTGCATCCTTACAGTAGTATTTTTCTCTAGTAACACCTTGTGCTCCTTCAATGCAAATCTTGAACCTGAACTGAAGAAAAGTCACTGCAGATCTTGTATTGCCTAATTATGAACCAACCATTCACACTTGCCACCGTCAACGAAAATTTTTGAATAAAACGGCATATTGGGATTCATTTTATAATAGAACACTTGTCCCAAGTCACATCTTAATTTCACATTTTGTAGCATCAATTCTTTTCTTATAAACCGTAGTAGAAACTAACTCAGCAAAACAATCAATTTTTTTAATCACATCTACTCCCATCCAAAGAGCTTTTCCGAGGAAAATTGAATTGCCACCCCTATAGGGCCTCTGAATAGGAATAGTGTATATAGCTCAGCTAATCCTGCAGGTCATAAGGTGATTAACAAAGTAATTCTGCAATCTATATGATACCCCACCCGCGGATGATGGAATGACGGCTGCAGGTAAAAACCTGGGTACTTTCTCATCATTTGTCGAATTTTTGGCGGCTTATTCAGAAATCTGAAAGCATATTAAAATCATTTGATCTTAGTCGTCTCACTGAAAACACATCATTGCGATCTACGTATCAAACACAAAGAGCTTCAAATTCTCTCAATGTTACTTCTTGGCTCAGTTGTAATTAGAGGAAATCTTGTCCAAAACTTTTCTCGCTATATGATTTGTATGTTTCGTAATTCTCCATGATTTAAAAAATCTTCACACCTATGCCGCAATTTATGGGCTTTTTGTAGCCGCAGCTCACAACCGGGATCAATGGTGGTTATGATTTCCCCTTTCTCAACCTAAACCATCTTGCTTTTGTGGAAATTGAAAACTGTGAACTCGGATAATTCCTGTTCCCACTATTTAAAAGAAAAAATTTAAGTAACTAACTTCTAAGCTGCTCGCTGAGACATCCTCCACTTTATTTACGCCAACCAGTTTTTTTGCATAAGGAAACCAAAGTTTTATGCTAGCTTGGTCACACATTTCATTTCCTTTACTAGGTTTGCATATTAATACTCTAAATTAGTGAACTTCGACTTGATATACAATGTGAGCATTGTAAAAAAAGACCTCATGCAGAATTCTGCAGTCAATTTATCACTTTCTGACACCTCAACAATATCATTGGTGTTTGGCATACACCTGAAATCTGAATTGATACATAGGCTCTTACTGTAAAAATTATAACTCACACTGCTGCTCCAGCCAAGCCTGACCCAATCTTTACCCCTCCTCCACATGTCATAGGGTAGAAGCTTGTAAACGATGTGTACTTGTCGAAGGTTGGCACATCGGGGGACTGCACAAGTACAGCGGGTACTTCCGTCTGAATTTTCAAAAATATCATGAGACTAATTTGTCCACTAATCAACGCGTTGCGTCTCCGTAGCATCCGCTTAGAAGCCTATAGTAGAACTACTCTCACTCGATGACCTGTTGATGCCTAAGTCTTGACCCATTTCGGCCCGTTGTTTCTGGCGGACTCGTTTGCGCACTGTCTGCCCCGGTCAGGCGCGCGGGAATTCGAGTATAGACAGTATAGAAATGGCTAAAAAATTTGTCCAACATTCACTCTAGTCTTTCAAATAATTTTTATTGTGCCCGGACAATGCATACCATCTCAGCGCCATCTTCGGCATGCTATGCCGTTTATTTTTGTCTATGCTTATCTCGACTGTTTGCGTTGTACGCTACGGATGTCCTTTCTCGAAGAACGCCAACCGTTGATTCGCAAGATTCGCCGATGGCGAGTTCTGCGTCGACAGGTCTGGCCGCTCCATGGAGCTCCATTTGGATTTGCTGAGAGATGAGGTGAAACTCAGGCCGGAGTACTTCCAGTACAAACTACGCGATTTGGCGTTCTTGGGGTAAACCAACGACGTATTTCGTGGACTTAAATCAGTCGACAAAGTCCGGAAGGTCCCTGCGTACGCCGCGCCCTGACGCAGCGAGATAAGAACGTCGGGTGGACATGACCCTCTGGATCGACTTCATCATCACTGGGTTAAGGAGTGGGTCCAGTGTTCTAACTTCCATCGCCGAGCCCAGTGGGTCGACAAATATGGAGAGGAAGAAGTTTAGA